TGTGTTTACTTTAATGATAAAGAAAATAGGAGCCATTATTTTTGTGGCAGTGGAAAATTGTCTCTACAGTATTTGTTGTATAGTGACGTTCAAAACTACAATGGTTCTTCTGAAACAGGCAGTTTTATGCCCAATCCTCCAAGTTATGGCTGTTGTAATGTCTCATGGTCACTTGATCACCTGATTAATGGAGAAGCTGGCAGGAAGTTGCAAGTCATGGTAAACAGGACATTGTGCCTAACAACTGCATGGGATTCTCTTAATGATCACAACTGAAACCGCAGGTACTGCTGTTGTAAATTGGTGTGGTTGCATGAATGTGTCATTTAGTAACAGATTTCCCAGTCCCAATTGCCATTGGTAACTGACAACCAACTAGATTTAGACAAATTTAGAAATATATATCTTATGAACATTAAAGGGAAAAATATATTCTTTGATCTATTTTTAGTGCTGTATATGAGGTCAGATGAAAACATATGGGAATTGTAGTCATAACTCAATCCATATGCATTTACTCTGATCAAAATGTTAGAATAAATTGAATTGAATTCTAATATGAGCAAGAGACAATTAACTAGCAGCAAATTATTCCTGGAGTAGGTCTTAAGTACAAAATCCATAGTATTCGGACACCCAAACTTCTTGTGTGTCAGACATTTTTGGGGGGCAGCAGAATATATTTGGGAGCTAAAATTAAGAGAAAAATTATGGGGTGTTATTTCTATTCACCAACTTGGTTGATTTTATAAAGTAGAAAGCTATTTTAAATGTTTCAAAATAAGCAAATGGTATGAAACTTCTGTGTGCGTCTCATGAATTTATGAAGATATAGGATGGACAAAGCATTTGGATATGTTTGCCACTTGAAGTATTTGTAAAAATAATAAAGGTGAAATATACATAAAGAAATAATAAAGGCTACTAATAGAAATTATTGTCCATGGACATAAAAGCACAGGGACAATGGAGCAGCCTCAGATACAAATACAGCCTCAGATTATAAAACTAATATAACAACAACGACGACGACGACGACGACAACAACAACAACAACAACAACAACAATAATAATAATAAAAATGACAAATACAGTCTGGCTGACTCTGCAATGAACCATAACAACAATAACAAGAATCTGCCATACAACACCCCAAACGTAGCAATTATTGATAAGACAAAAAATCTGAATAGTGGACATTGCAATACTGTGAGACAGCAGAAGAGAAGAGAAAGAATTGGAGAAAATCCCAAAATGTAAAAACCTGCAAATAGAAATAGAATGACTGGCAAAAAAAGCAAAGATATCAACAGTAATAAGCACCTTGGATGCAATTCCAAAACATCTGGAGCACCACTGGAACACCATTGGCATTGACAAACTAGCCATCAGTCAATTGCAAAAAGCAGCTTTACTTGGAATAGTTTACATGCTACGACAACAATTTTAACATCATCAAACAACAATATCTGCCTTGGGAGGGACTTGATAGGTAGATAAAACTGCCAAATCCAATATACTGTAAATATCTGGTTGACTGTGCGGCAAACCATAACAACTGTAATTTAGGAGCATAGGAAGGTGAAAATTCAATCAGAAAAAAAAACCCTGAACAAGATTTTTAAAAAAGAACCCATTTCCTATCTTTAAGATTTTTATTTAACCTGACCAGTCTTTCCTTGTTCCCTTTCATTTAGAATAGTGTAGTGTAGTGTAGTGTAGTGTAGTGTAGTGTAGTGTAGTGTAGTGTAGTATAGAGTAGAGTAGAATAATTGGAAGGGACCTTGGAGGTCTTCTAGTCCAACCCCCTGTTCAGGCAGGAAACCCTATACCAGTGGTGGTGAACCTATGGCACGTGTGCCACAGGTGGCACGCAGAGCCCTCTCTGTGGGCACGCATGCCATTGCCCCAGTTCTCGGCCTTCAGCTTGGGTTTTATAAAACCTTTTCACTTTAGGCCTGCTGTTACCACCACAGCCATGCCCACCCAAAGGGTCACACCCACTGAATTGGCCACACCCACCCAATGGGCCACGCCCACCCAGCACCCGATGATACATAAGTGGGTTCTGGGTTGCAGTTTGGGCACTCGGTCTCTAAAAGGTTCGCCATCACTGCCCTATACCATTTCAGACAAATGGCTGTCCAATCTCTTCTTTAAAATTTCCTGTGTTGGAACATTCACAACTTCTGGAGACAGGTTGTTCCACTGTCTAACTGTCAGGAAATTTCTTCTTAGTTCTAGGTTGCTTCTCTCCTTGATTAGTTTCCATCCATTGCTTCCTGTCCTTCCCTCAGGTGCTTTGGAGAATAGCTTGACTCCCTCTTCTTTGTGGCAACCCCTGAGATATTGGAACACTGCTATCATGTCACCCCTAGTCCTTCTTTTCATTAAACTAGACATACCCAATTCCAGCAACTGTTCCTTATATGTTTTAGCCTCCAGTCCCCAAATCATCTTTGTTGCTCTTTTCTGCACTCTTTCTAGCATCTCAACATCTTTTTTACATCGTGGTGACCAAAACTGGATGCAGTATTCCAAGTGTGGCCTTACCAAGGCATTATAAAGTGGTATTAACACTTCATGTGATCTTGATTCTATCACTCTGTTAATACAGCCTAGCACTGTGTTGGCTTTTTTGGCAGCTGCAACACACTGCTGGCTCATATTTGTGCAAGGAATCCACTAGGACTCAAAGATCCCTCTCACAGTTACTACTATTGAGTGAGGTACCTCCTAAACTATTGAGTGAGGTACCTCCTAACCTATACCTGTGCATTTGGTTTTTCTTGCCTAAATTCACCATTGAATTTCATTTTGTTAGATAGCGCCCAATGTTCAAGTCTGTCAAGATCCTTCTGCATCTTAAGCCTATTTAGTCATGATTATTCTGCCTAGGAATGAGCAGTATGCAGAGCTTTCTTGGAACCTTCTAATACACTCATATGGTAATTACCAGTTTTTTTCTTTCAGAACTAATGAAACAATGCAATTAGCAGCAAAGAACACAGAAATATTTTCTAATATTTTATCATAATAAATATATTTTGCAAATCATGTAATTTCACTACAGGGAAGTCAACTTTGTCTTCAGAATTACATCTGAGATGGTAAACTGTAATATGGATGCCTTTGGATTTGTTTTGTTAATAAACATGAAACTTTCATTCCTTTTGCCTCTGCAAATCTGTTAAACCTGGGAGGTTTTTAATTTAGGTAGATAATTAGAAGGAGTCATGGAAAACAACTTACATACTGAAATACAACATTATAATTTTAAGCAACTTAAGATGGGATTTCTCTAATATACATATTTTGAATGTAAACATGTTTATGAAAACTGTTCTGCATTTTTGTGCTGTTAGTACCAACAAAGCTGGGCTTATTTAATGAAAAAAATACAGTAAATCACCTGGATTAAACTTTGATGCCATGGCCAATGTAAATAGCTTTATCCTCCCCCCCCCAACATAACTTGTTCATTCATAACCCAGATTTAGCTCAGAGTAATTTACATAAAGTTCCAAATAGGTTGAAGTCATTATATGCTTGAAGGGTGCCAATAAAATTTAGAGATTTCAAGCATCTTTTTCACAAAGATCTCTTGTCAGAGCTAAGACTATAACTGATCATAATCTCATTTACATGCCTTTTCCCCATGGAATTATCTGGTGAAAACTGATAACAGAAAAAGTAATTAGAAAGTGGATAATGAAATAAAACTTCTTCTAGACTATTAAGGAAAATATGTCAACAACTGCTATCATATTTGAAGAAAAAATTAAATGCTCATTATTGTATCTAAAATGTGTTTCTGCCAGCAGAAAATAAATGAAAACTATTAGGCAGAGATGAAAATGAAGTACAGAAAGCAAAACCAAAATCTTTGGAAAAATATTATTTAAATCATCACAACATTATTATTAACAAATATCAAAATGTATCTAACTACTTAATACATAAGTTGTATAAAAATATTTAGTGATGTTATTTTTTTGGGACTGCCGGTAGAAACAAAAAAGACCTTACAAGATTTATACCTTCTAACCTTATAAAGAAACAACAGCAGCAAAAAAAAAAAGAAAGAAAGAAAAGAAAAGAAAATTCAGAAGTTACATTTATAATCCACAGAAAGAATCTTATATATTATTTTAGAAGAAAATGTTTCTGATTGAAATATATTTATTAAGTATATTGTTAATTATGTCTTGTGGAAATAAATATAACTAAGCAAAAAATGCATCTCTTCTCCTTTTAGAGTGCGAATTTTAGTGGTTTTTCAGACAGCATGAAATAATCTTGTTTGGTATCACCAATGTTTTCTATATAGTCACAAATCTATTATGCATTCTGATAATCAAAGTAATCTTCTACCTACATAATTTTGACAGGTAAAATGCTCAAGCTAAACAATGAACAGCCTATCACCAAAATATGTTTTCCCACACAAGATACAAATAAACATTGCCAAATGCTGGAAAGATTTCAGGTAAAACAAGCATCAAATATTCAAAAAGATAAGCAGAAATTAAGTTCTGAAGGTAAGTATTTTCACAGTTTTTCTCCAAAGCTATCCTTTGTGATTTTGTAAAAGATTTATTTTCTTTAGGGAAATATGCGAGGTCTCAAAAAATAATAGCACTTTATCATAACCTTTGTACACAATGAATGAATTAGGATTTCAAGGAAATGTAATGAGAGACAGCATATCATTGTTCAGTAACTCACTGATCACGTTGCCATATAAGAGTGGCAGATTAAATCAAAATAATTACTACTCTCAGTGGAAAATATCTGCATTTTAAAATAGGCTACCAATAGGCATATCCAAAGAATCTTCCTGCTATGTTTCTTTAATGTAATCCATATAGAAAAGTAGAAATTACCTTTCATTATGTTTGGCTTTTTAAAAATGCAATTAGAATAAGTACTAACAAATTGATTTTTCTTCAACAAGCAAATATACTTGGTATTTTATTCAAAGTTCATGCCAACCTACTTTTTCTTTAGTCTTCGGTCTTTTTCTGCCTGGGTTCCAAGTTTGCTTAATCCCAGAGATTCCTGTACTGCAGCTTCCGTTTCCATATAGCCTCCTGTGTTTAAAAGAGCAAAGAGATTTTCTCTTTTTATTTTTTAATATGTTTGATTAGCTTACCAGAAATGATTTAATTTGTTTTCTGAGATACACATATACAGATAAAAATGGTGTAATAACCTGAAATCTATGGGAAATAAAACTAAAGAATGTAGATTCAACTAATAACTTTTTAAAGTACCCAACTAAAAGTTATCCCCCCCCTCCTGTTTTCCTGTAAGGAGCAAAGGCCAAACATTGTTTCCTTGATCAGGCTTTCTCATCTCCTAATTTCTGAAAAGACAAGCTTCCCTTTCAAGCCAAAATGGCTGTTCTTGGCAGAAGGAATATTAAAATAGCGTTATTTATACCCAGTTTAACCTAAATTTGCCCCTATTTAAGGGATTCCTCTGTATGACATCCTAGATATTTAATTGTGTTGAGATTTGTTCTGATTCATTTTGGAATAAGGCACTAAAGGCTGCACTGGATAAGAGAGAGGAAAATTTGATTGTATCTTTTACATTTGCTCATTCATATTTTGCAAATAAAACATACAAAATCAGCTTCCAAGAAGCAGGAATGCAAAGGTGATTCATGTTGTAAATAGTAATTTTAGAAGCTACCCAGGTAGATGTATCATATAAATAGACAAGAATATAAAAACATTACATGAACATTACTTACAGATATTACAAAATAAACCATAATTTTGCATCACTCCATGCAGATATTGTTAAATTATGAATACATTCATCTCTGCTCTCAATGTTTATTTAATGGGAGTGTGGAACATTCTATTTTATTATTTTAAAAATGAGAATGCATTTCAACTAATTTATTCTTATATTTTCCTATGTAACTGTTTAAAGATCTTTCCTTAGGTTCTGAGTAAATAATCGATACTGGAGACATTAAATTGTACTATACTGCACTATACTGTACTATAACTAATAAAACCATATATCCATGTGATATGGACAGTTATACAAATATGATAAATAAAGCTTTATGCTAGGATTATGCAAATTCTTCAAGAAAGATATAAAGTAGCCAATTCTTTTTTCAAGTTAGCGTTATTGCTTCAGAAATTGTTTTTAATCTAAGAAGGATGAAAAAATTGACAAAGGAAAAGTCTTGCCAAATAAGTCATGGGTGAAATCTATTTTCTATCAGAATTCTCTATAAATTAGAATCATAGAATGATAGCTACAATATTTATTTATTTATTTATTTATTAAAATTTATATCCCGCCCTTCTCCTTACGGACTCAGGGCGGCTAACAACTGGATAAAAATACAAAAATAACACACTACAAATTTAAAAATTAATTAAAAGGGAAATATTAGTAATTTGGTCGAATTAAAATTATAATTAAAACCCCCTCTAAAAGTTTCCCCTAGGCCAGTCCCGCAAGCTGGAATAACCATGTCTTAAGGGCGCGGCGGAAGGAAGGGAGATCAGGGATCACCCTGATCTCTGGGGGCAGTTCATTCCAGAGGGTGGGAGCTCCCACAGAGAAGGCCCTCCCCCTTGGGGTCGCCAGCCGGCATTGTCTGGCTGACGGCACCCTGAGGAGACCCACTCTGTGGGAGCGTACAGGTCGATGGGGGGTAATCTGCGGCAGGAGGCGGTCTCGAAGATATCCGGGTCCGATGCCATGGAGCGCTTTAAAGATGATAGCCAGCACCTTGAAGCGCACCCGGAAGGCCACCGGCAGCCAATGCAGCTCGCGCAGCAGCGGTGTTACATGGGAGCGACGAGTCCCTCCCAACACCGCCCGCGCGGCCGCATTTTGGACTAGCTGGAGCCTCCGGGTGCTCCTCAAGGGGAGCCCCATGTAGAGAGATACGGTTATGTTCAGTTGGTCGTCCTGTCTCATGTCACATGTAGAGAGATACGGTTATGTTCAGTTGGTCGTCCTGTCTCATGTCACATTTGTGACATATTTTTTTCTGACAGTTATCCAAGTTTTACTCTGTATGATTTTTAAAGTTCAGCAGATCTATCTGTGAATAGAATTTTTTCGCAAAAAGTGGCAAACACTAGCAAAGGAAGCTTAGTCCTCGACTTTCAACAGTTCATTTTGTGACTGTTCAAATTATGATGGCACTGAAAAAAGTGACTCATGACCATTTTTCACACTTATGACCATTGCAGCATTACTATGGTCATGTGATCAAAAATTCAGACTTTTGTCAATTGATTCATATTTATGACAGTTGCAATGTCCCGGGATCATGTGATCGCCTTTTGCAACCTTCTGAGAAGCAAAGTCAATGGGGAAGTCAGATTTACTTAACAACCGTGTCGCTAACTTAACAACTGAAATGATTCACTTAACAACTGTGACAAGAAAGGATGTAAAATGTGGCAAAATTCACTTAACGAATGATTCACTTGGCAGCAGAAATTTTCAATTGTGGTCATAAGTTGAGGACTATCTGTACATTGCACCAAGGACTCAACAGCTCAACCCTAAACTACATATATTCTCTTCTATTGCAAGCTTAATCTATGTCCTTTAATCACTTAAGAAAATATAATTCTATGATAATAAATATGATTGATGATAGCGGAATGACATGGAAAAAAAATAATCATTTTAAAAGGCAGAAAAGCAAAATGAAACTGAAAAATGACTGGAAAACCATGATCTGAACCTGGAGATGTATGTCTTACTTAGCTGTCCAAGTCGTGCCTTCTCTTTTTTACCAAACAAGCGCCCAATTGAAGACTTTATTCCTTTCTTCTTGGGAGCTTTGTGCAAGGAATCCTGGCTGCTATTGACACTGCCAAAGCCAATACTTTCTGGTTCCAAGGATGCAGTCAAACTACTAAAAGAGACACACAAAAGATAGAGAAGCTATTATTGTCCTGATGAAGTCCCATCATGAAGTCCACAACTTGTCTGCTGAGGAAACAAGTTTTATGAAATCTAATGAGAGTATCTTAGTAATTGGAAATAATAATCAAATTAATTTCTTGTATGTATTGTGATGATACCAGAATCTTTCTGGTATTATCACAATATTTAGAACTGCACATTTTTTCATGTTTTAATCTTGATTGAAGTAAATTAATGAAAAGACAGCAGATATAATTTATCAAAACTCTGTTAACATAACTATGGTTAGAAACATTTTAGAATGCTTTTTATAAGAACCAAATGTTTGATTAAATGGTATCAAAGCTATGACTACCACTATTACTACTTTTGATCTTATCTATCCTAAATAGGTGAAATAACTCTAAAACATTTCCTCCAGTAGGTTTGATGTAAAATAAGTTTCTGATGTAATTTTATTACTCTCCAAAAATAAATTGATGTTCTTCAATGGCCATGATGCTTCCTAAGAGTAGCAATATCACTTTTTGAGAGAGTCCTATTTAAGAACTGTACTTATTGCTAACAGTAGATATTGTAAGCCAAAGCCTGACTTCTGCTTTAATTCTTTATTAATTAGGCAGAAATGTCAGTAGAATATTCAGCAGTATTATTTTGTTTATTTACTCATCCTGATTATTGTCATCTATTCATTTTTTACTTGGGAGCAATACTATGATTCTTACCAGAGCAATTTTTTCTTTCAATAAAGTATGGAAATAAAAATATTTATATGTCTGTCTGTCTGTCTGTCTGTCTGTCTGTCCGTCCGTCCATCTGTCCGTCCATCCATCCATCCATCCATCCATCCATCCATCCATCCATCCATCTACCCATCCATCCATCCATCCATCCATCTACATGGAAGGTATTTCTATGTATAGGTATGATATCAGATTCTTAACTCAAAACACAAATCATATGTATACTATTTCCCATTTATGATAAGTTCAGAGATATGTCAATTATAATTCACATGATTGACTCACAAATTACTCTTATTGAATATGAAGAATTATGAATCTCTAATAAATATATACTAGAATAGGTTTTCCCTTCCAGTTGTCCTCCATATAAATTGGGACTGGTGGTGCAGTGGTTAGAATGTAGTATTGCAGGCTAACTTTGTCCACTGCCAGGAATTTGATCCCAACCAGCTCAAGGTTGACTCAGCCTTCCATCCTTCCAAGGTTGATAAAAAGAGAACCCAGATTGTTCGGAACAATATGTTGACATTTGTAAAATGCTCAGAGAGTGCTGTAAAGCACTATCGAGTGGAATATAAGTCTACGTGGTATTGCTATCTACTAAGATCAACTAAAATTTTGGGTTTTTGTTTTATTGATTGAAACTGATAAGTGTAACTGTTTGTAACACATCCTTAAAGGTGTCAATTCTCAGATGCTCAACTTCCCCTTTTCCTGTTACTGCTTATAAAACCCTTCTTCCTTAGCCATCCTTTAATTTATCTTTCTTAGTGGCAAGGATATACAGATACATGTGCACTACACAGCAAAATCTCCAAACTTGGCCTTGCCAACATGCAATATTTAATTCTTCAATTAGGGTGAAAGTGAAAATAATTATAGTACTTTTTTTTTACAGTCAAACATAAGTTCTTATACAAACAAACCCTCCTATCGTGGATTTTTGTTATGTTATAAAAAAGCAAAAAAGTTTAAATCATTTTTATTATTTTTTTTCAAGTGCTATTTTTTTTAGAAATTCCTTCTACTTTCTGAATTCATTAGGCATCTCTCCACTTCCTCCAGGCCTTTTTTCCCCCACTAGGGCTGAATTACTGTTTTTCCCTTGAGGTATGAAACTTCTTTCTCTGACTACTTCAGAAATATTTTCCTTCCACTGCTAATTCCCCATCACCAAACATCTATGTGTAAAACACTGGCTGTACTAGCTATATTAACTCTCTTCATAACAAGTGACATGGCAAGCTAGCACAATGTATTTTAATTACACTCTGATTTGTTTACTTATAATCCATAAAAAGAAAATATCAGAAAATGATCATTATCCAAAAAGAGTGTAAAATTAAAGACCAGTTATTCAAATGGAAATGAAAAACATATCTGAAAAACTGATCTAAATAAATTTCAGGACAACTGAGTTTAACTGGCATGTAGCAAAAGTCATGTGAAACTCAACTTGAAACTCAAGTGGATGAATGCTCTTAAAAGATACACAACATATGGCTATGCCAAACAAACCAATTCCTACCTTCTGGCATCATTGTGGTATGAAGAAGGTAGAGTGTGAGTCATTCTAATGGCTCTAGGGGTTGGTGGAGGAGAGGTTTCACATTTTATTGTGGCCTTGTCTTCATGTCCATCTTCTTCAACTATTGCAATCTACAAGTAAACAGTTTTGTAAAATGCAGGTGAAAACCCTTTTAAGGTGTTGGGAGTAAAAAAAAACAAAAACTACCGGAAAGCCAACTCCTTTCCAAGTAAGGAAATCAATCAACCAAATACACAAATAGCATTCCATTCCTACAACAAGATATAGAATAAAAGTGCTAACCACAAGTTATACAATGATAGCAATATAGTTTCAGTTTCCAGGACTGAATATGGCATTAGGTACACATTTAGCTCTTGTTATTGTTGTTGCTATTGTTGCTGTTATATTATTATTATTATTATTATTATTATTATTATTATTATTATTATTATTATTATTATTATTATTATTTTCAGAAAATTATAGACAGGTTTCCTGAGCTGGGGAGGATATGCAAAGTAGGATATGAGTGGAAATAAAGTTTATTTAACTTTTTCTCATCATTAAATCCTAATAAAGGACCACAGAACAAGATTCATTGCCCTTTGCCATTCAAATAAATAATGTTTGAAGTACAATGGACACGTTGGTAGATAAAATTGGCTCCTCGTATACCTGGACTTTTCTATTTTCTGTGAATCCAATATAGGTTATCCTTGAGTTACAACTGTAATGGAACCTGCCTATTATGGTTGGAAATACTGATGGCCATTAAGTGAGGTGACCTCACTTAACAACCTCACCCCCTGCTCTCCCTGATGCAGCTGTTAAATGAACACACAGGTCATTAAGCACAGCACAAGGTGTGTCAGGACTGTGAGAGACCCTGGGAGGCCTATGCAGGTTCTGACTCACCTGCCTCAGGCTTCCCAAAGCTACCCTTCCCCCTGACACCCTATACTCTACTTCTCACCCCCAAGGTCCCTGCAGTCCATCAGTTTCCTTGCTACCCAGAGACGTAGGAGAGGCAAGGAGAGAACAGGCCATCTGCAGATTGCAAGCGTTCAGCTGTCTTCCCACACAGGGACTTGCAGGATTCAGCTTGCTCCGGGGCCCAGCAACATCCAACTTCATTTTTTGCAGGTTCTAAGAGGCATCCAGCCTAATACAAGATCAGCTTTGTTACTTCTTTCTTTGCTTTGTAACAAACACAATGCTATTCTGCAAAAGGTACTATTATTTTTTTTTATACACATTTTATTGGTTTTTTTAATTTTAACATCAAAGTGCTCAGGAAAACACCGTGGTGAAAGGGTAATCAATCATAGCAAAACAAGTCATATATATATAACTAAAATTAATACCTTAAAAATTCCCCCCTCCATTTTCCTCACATGATATAACAAATTTAGTTTAATCTATTTCTTCTTAAAATTCAATCAATCCACAGAATCATCCCTACTATTACATCTACATAAATCACTCCTGCTTTTAAGCTCCACTAATTTCAATTAAGATATTCCAATTAATCTTAAACAAACATATTAATAAAACTTAGGGTATCCCTTCTACAACACACATAATATTCCAAGAATAACATTCTAATATTTTCACATATATTCCATCTCTTAATTTAATACATCATTAATTAATACCCGTTCTTCTCTTATCATAGATCTAATTCTTCTGCTATTACAAAATAGTTTTCTATATAAACAGAATTAAAAAAAAGAATCGACCTGTTAAGTAAAATTTAACTCTCAACCAAATTAACTATTGTATCTAAGACAAACATATTATTACACCAATTATCTTACTACTTTCATTTACTCAATTAGATTGTCAAATCAGTCCAAATCTCTAAAGCCTTTTTGACCCAATAATTAAGATTTTAAATCACATTTTTAAATCTAACTCTGGCTTTTTTTCTATACCAAGCTGGTTTCCGTAATGTCACATCTATATCATCAAATCTCAGTATTTGAGTACTAATGTTTATCAACAAATCGACTGATCAAAATTCTCTTCCCCTTCTTCCAGTATCATGTAAACAATATAGTCCATTTTATTCCATATTATAATTTCAGCTTGATTATCCAGGTTGTCACAACTTTCAATCGATCGCGTCTGGCTGTCAATTCCTGTTAATTTTAGCAATGGGAGTATTTCACTTATAGTCATTTTTTGATCTTCAAAGTTCTCCACCGTTTGTATACAGACTTGTGAAATATCCTCCTCTGTAGTAGTTAGTTGATTTATAGAGTAGTCATTTAAAGTCTCAATCTGGGATTTTGGGTTGAGAATTTTTCTAAAGTTCAATTGATCAGTGAGTTCTTCCATCTCAAATTGTATACACTGTTGCCTATAAGCTTCTTCTTGACCTGTAAATTGGTCTTTTAAAATTTGGGGTTCAGCTTGTGATTCTAGAAGATGGTCTTTAGTTTTTCTCCATGACTTCATCTCCTCTGTCATTTCCAATATTTTTCCCAATATCAGCTCATAATCCAGTCCAGAATTCAATTGATCAGTAAATTCTTCTTCCATCTCAGATTGTGTATACTGTTGCATATAGGCTTCTTCTTGGCCCATAGGTTGATCTTTTAAAGTTTGAGGCTCAGCTTGTGGTTCTGCAAAATAATGTTTAGTTTTTCTCCATAACTTCATCTCCTCTGTCATTTCCAATAGTTTTTCCAATATCAGCTCATAGTCAAGCTGTGGGTAAAAGTCTTCTATTTCCATAGTAAAAGAGTCTTTTAATCTTTTTGTGGAAACTATATTTATTAAGAGTCCATATACATCCGCCTCCACAATTTTTAAATCACAAACACAACCCACAGCTGTTTCCAAGCCTTTATCTTTTCTTCTTGTTAATTCCTGAAGGTCAAAGCCATCTTCAAACACCAAAGCAAAGACATTAGAATTGCAGTAAATATTTTCACCACAAGATGTCCTCAGTAGGCTATAGAAAGTTTTTTCTTTGCACGTTAAAAGCCTTTATCTCGTTAAGAATGACAAAGAAAGAGACAGAAAAAAGCAAATATCTTCCGTATAGTAAGTAAAATAGTGCTTTATATTACAAATCTTTCCAGGGATGCCCAATATCCAAAAGGTTCAAAATATAATAAGTGCTATTCTGTAGTTTTGTTTAAAGTATTTTTTCCCCCCAGACAAACAGATGCTGCTTTCTTAGAACAGGGAAGTCATCCAAAAAGCAAGCTCTTTGCAGGAAAAATCGTTCAAGCAAATAGTCAAGATGGAGAGAGGGAGGAAAGGTCTCACCTGGATTCACCAGGGTGGTTCTTTATGCTTAGATGACTTTCTGACTTCAGCTGGCACAGCGAAGTGATCGGCCATTTTACTGGCTGATCTTCTTCTCCGTCGGCCCCACAGAGTTAGCTCGGACTGTAGAGGGAGCCGCTGCTCCACCACAGCCGAGCAAAAGCCTCCTCAACGGTGGTCGCCCCTCCAGGGCGATTTAAGACCCGCATAAGGGTCTACCGGTGGAGAGAAAACAGCCAACGAAGAGCGACAGCTCTTTGTGTGTCTGAGCCTGCTGCGATCCGGAAGCGGAAGTCCAAAAGGTACTATTCTTGTGATACTGTAGAGGGCTCCATTTTCTAAGGAGTCTCTATTTGTTTGGTACAGGTTCACAAGAATAACACCTGCTTTGCCATAAGACTTTAGAAGAATGCTGAGTGTTGCTAGGGCCTGGAACAGTTGAGTTCTCCAATTCCCTGGATGGGAAGACAGCGGGAGGCTAATAAGCTGCAGACGACCTGATCTTTCCTTGCTCACTGAAGGATTGCAAACTCTGGCCACCATGATTTCCCCTTCCTCACTGGATGGGAAGGAAGCTGGAGGATTGCAAGTTCTAGCTGATTTGCGTGGGCTATAGCTGGCCCGATCTCCTTTGGGTGGATGAGTGGCTGCAAAGACTTAGTGTGGCAGGATGGATGGGTTGGTGAGGGCTGCTGTATCCCTGTAGTTTGCTGTAATGACTGCAGGAGTGCTGTAGTGGCTGTATCTTTGCAACTGGGTCATAAGTAGCTTTTGGGAGGGTCTGTTGTACTTTTGAATGGTTCAAGTATAACACCAGATCGAAGGCTGTTCTGACTGCCCACTTCCCTTTCTCCTCAGCTTTGATATACATATTTATTTCTATAAGAATAGTATAAGGTTCTACACTAAAAATGTAGGCTGTTTTATAAAAATGGTTCATAATGAACTAATGTAGTTTTATATGTACAACATATATATTAAAAAGAATTATTGTAAATAAAATTACTAGAAAATGAATCTCAGTGATGGCACAAATCTAATTTATTTTGGTTGGATTTTGGTAATGGAAATTCTTGAACTTGTTAGCTTTTAGCTACCATTGTTTTTTTTATCAACAAAGGAGAATATTTGTAGCTCAGGGTTGAAATGAGAGGTACTTGGTGCTGAGCTTGCTTGCTTTCTTGCAGACATTTCATTACCCCTAACTAGGTAACATCATCAGTGCTAGTAAGGAGTGCTGTTTGCTGTCAGTTTATATTCTGGTGTCTTGCCTGTCTGGTTGGGTGGGGGCGGTCTTAGGGATCTATCGTGTGCTTTTAATCACTAAAAATAATTTCAGAACAAAGTTAGGGCATAATAAAAGTAATAAACCACAAACATTTCCAGCATGTTAAACCATTTTACTGCTAGAACAGAAGAGGCTAAAGCAAGGAAGCTCTCAATCATTAATTAGCATGTACAAAAGTCCATCACCATAGAGAGGCTGAGGAAGCCCACAAAAGAGACTTGATCTGATCCCTACTATGTCTCCAAGCAACATACCTCACAAAGTATAAATTGGAAAAAGACACTTCCAGGGGAAAAGGTGATATATGTGATAAATACAAACAATATGTGTGTAATAATATCAAAAATATGTTCTTTTTATGCTGTCATGTAATTAATTCCTAACAGACGTGACATAGAGTCTAAGACTCTTAAACACTCAGATAGGGCTCCATTTTGTTATAAACCTTCAGTCCAATGTGGGTTGTCTGAGAAGGTGCTGTCTGCCTCACCATAATGATCTCTTCTTGTATCATCCAGATTATCTGCTTCAACTAGGATGAAGGTATAAAAGGTTGAGATTTGAAGGGATTTCCACATCCTCAGAAAACTGTATCTTGTGGAAATATTTGTAAAGGTCTGAATTTGAAAGTTCTAGAAATAATTAACTCTTGTCGGAGAAAAAATAGAAACATATTTTTTAAAAATATACCTTTCTTCGATGTTTCCTGAGATCACTTGGCTAGAGTTGATAATGAAGAAAAGAAAAACAGAGTATTATCAGACATATTATAGATTTTTATAAATCTTGTGTTTCTTTTCATTAAGATTCATTTTGAATTTCTTTAACTTCTTATTGGCCCTTATGATGAAATTTCCTTCCATCACACCAGCCCAACTGCCATTGAATCCAAAACAAAACTTGGCTGGAACCCAAGAAGGTAGAGTGGACTAAGTGTTCACTTATATGTATAGTTTTAAGAAATATCATTAACATTATAAAAATTGGGTATTTTGTTAGAAATACACAAATTATAGCTTGAGTCTTTATGTCAACAATTTATTAACACATTACGTTTTTAGAATTTTACTTTATCTTGTATTAACAGTAGGAATTGTTCCAAATCAAAGATTTATAATGATTTATATTAATAGTTAATAAGATATTATCACATGTGCTTGCAAGCACACGCACACACCCATGCCCACACACCAAAAGATGAATGGTAAACAAAAAGGAAATAAACAAGAAATGAAAAATAACCCTATGTAGAGGATTCCTCAGATATTAAATAAATGTAGTGACCAAGAGAAAGTTATACTTCTTACCAGTGTCATGATCCCCATCCGATCCATCTCCCTAGCTGGGCTGCGTGGAGTGAGTTTAGGAGTTGAGTGGCCACTGGGAGGAGAGGAGCTTGCTAATGAAGATGCAGTTATTGAGCCAGTAATAGATGTTCCAGGATGAACCCTGGCCAGATTTAAGCCTTCTAGACTCACACTAGCAACTCTGTTTTCTATTTCTTCAGCACGCAGTTCTGTGGATTCTTTTTCTTCCTGGATTAACCTGTAATAGTTAACCAAGACAAAGGTAAGTCATTTTCATGAGAATATTGCTTTAATATGAGTGTTAATAGGAGTTGGGATAGTTCTCCCTGACCACTACTTACTATTAACCACTAAATTTCCCATGTTTTAACATTTTTTAAAAAAGATAGCCATGATGAGTACAAATTACATTAGGAGTTGTTTTTGCTGCTGGAATGATAGTTTAATTTTTATTAGGGTTTTGTAACTACGTAGCAAAGAATAATTTGGCATATTTATCTTTCATCAATGGGAATCTCTTTTTCAATTTATTAAATATAATGTTCATCCAGAGCAAACAAAATATTACCACTGCTCTAACCTGCATCCCTGATTTCTGCTTGTTTAAAATTTTCTAAGAACATTCAGAGACTAAGAAAGACTTAGAAACTGAACAAAGAATTCAGCAAGTTTTCTGAGGTCATATTCTGTGTGCTTACAATGTTTAGGTTTCCTCATCATTTTAATGTCAGCCTCTCCCAGATATTTAGCTTTGAGAAACACTGATTATAATCTGGTCTACAGAAAACTAATGCCTTTTAATTTGGGGAGTTTGCATATTAATATTTTTTAAAAAAAATCCAAAAGAAGGCAATGGCAAGCCACTTTTATATTGTTTCAAAGAAAATCAGATGTCAATGAAGAAAATCAGAAATCATATCAACATGTTTTACCCTATTGGGGGACAAAATATTGGATTGTTCTAAGGTTTTCTTCAGGAGTGTGTGTGAAGTAAGCATACCTGATTTCTTTATTGATTGCATCTAGTTGTTCCTGAAGCATCATAGCAAGGGTCTGAGCATCTGAATGTCCACTTGGTGACAAAAGATCCATTGAACTGAAAATTGTATCTCTATCATCATCATCTATATCAGACATTTCAGTGTCACTCTCAAAATGATGGCTGCTTAGAACTCCAACTGGCTGGTTTCTATTCCACTCGTGATCTCCAAGGGATTTTACCTAATTACAAATTGTAGAATGCATATAGATCAGACTTATGGTAAATGTTAATTTTCACATAGAGCTTATATTTTAAAACACCATTGCAGTTATTAACACCTTTCAATTTTCTCAGCCATTTGTGCACTTAAACCATTCTTATTAATTTCTAACAGCTGCATTGTGATATCACACGGATCTTAATTTCAGTCTGTTATAAAAATACCAAGATTTATCTTACAAGAGGCCCGAAATAGTTTAAGGCAAGATGTGGGAAGTTTCTTTCTGTATTGATCACGTAAGTCAATTTAGATTCATACTACAATATAATGGATATCCCTGGATGATTTAAAATTAAAGGCAGCATTTCTAAACTCTATACTTTCATTTTTTTAGAAAAAAAGTGCATCAATAAAATGAAACTGTTAAGTCCGGAGAATAATGGCGCTTGAGACGATGCATTACTAACAAGTCTTTATTCTCTGCTTCCAATCTACGAACAACCCGAGCAGAGGCATGCAGGCCTCTATTTATACCTTCTGATCCCCGGGCAATTCCAACCAATCACAAGGCAGTCTTTTCCCGCCTTGCGCATGCGCACAAGGCCGGCGCCACTCAGTCTGGTCCCGGGCAGCTTTTGCAAATGCCCGGGACTCTTGCAACGTCCCGAGCCTGCCTCTTGCAGGCTCAGGACACAACACCCCTCCCCCCTAGATGAAATAATACTGCGCCCAACATGGACGCCATCATAATAATGATTTGTATACATACTGTTGTATTAATACACATTGTGTGTATAAGGTGTGGGGCTGTTCCGTCGTACAGAGACCCGATGGCCCCAACATCATTTCCATAGAGTCAACCAACCTGGACCTCAAATTCAAGTGATTAATATATACATGCTCACCTTACGTAATCTGCAAGGTATTTCGGAGGGCCTTTGACCCTTAGCGACCTTCTCGGACCTGGGGAGCTTGTAGTGTTTTCCCCGTTGCTTCCCACACTAGGTGAATTACTCTGTGGTTGTCTCGTGACTTCTGTTTGACTATCCTGCCCGTCTCCTAGGCTCGAGAAGTCAGGACTCTGTCGATCGCTATACCTGGTTGACCTACCACCTATGGAGTTTTCCAACCCCTCTGAACTCATCTCCACGTTTCCTGATGGAGTGTGGTTTTCCTGGCTCCTTTCTGTAGTGATAGGGTCTAGGGATACCTCCCTGTTAGCCCTAAAGCGTGGGGACATCCGTCTATGAGCCCTTTCTGTGAAGGACGTGTTACCCCTTTGTTTTGCCTGCTCTCTTGTATGTTGTGAGTTGTGAGTATGCTCCCAGTCATTCTCCGTGTCTGGAGTATTGTTTGTGAGGTGTGGATAATTAGTATACCTCCGGTGGGACTCCCAGGCTGGAGTGCGTGTGGGGGTGTCTGTGTGCCCCCTTTCCCATGAA